GAGTTCCGCAGGGTTCTGTTTTGGGGCCACTACTTTTTATTTTGTTTATAAACGATCTTCCTGGTAGTATAGTCCACAAAATAATGCTAAACGCTGATGACAGCAAAATTATTGGGATCATAAAGTCGGCATCGGATAACACAACGCTTCAGGCAGATATTGATAACGCGGTTACATGGTCAAACACTTGGCTCATGCACTTTAGCATTGATAAATGTAAAGTGATGTATGCAGGTCGTCCTAATAAACGTTTATGGAGTTCTCATATCAAACGATCTGAAAGTCAGAGCACAAGTTGAAAAAGCAGCATCCACAGCCAATCGCATGTTAGAAAAGCTAAAATGTTTTTAAACTTTTTAGCTTTTCTAACATGCGATTAAACATAAACTTTTTAGCTTTTCTAACATGCAGAAAACTGCTTTTTCCGCAGTAGAAACTTAACCTTGTGGCGCACACTCTATATATCTAATGTACGGCCACATCTAGAATCCGCGATTCAAGCCTGGTCCCCGTATCTCAAAACAGACATTAAGTTGCTTGAGTATGTTCAAGACCGCGTCACTAAGATAATACCATCTATCAGCCATTTTGATAAAATAAAGCGTCTGCAGGTACTCAAACTAACTACCCTCAATAAAACGTCGTTTGCGTGGTGATATCATCAAACAATTCAAAATTTTCAATAACTATGGCGAAGTTCATTTTACGGTCCCACAACACCAACTAATTGGGCGTGAAGTTTACAACCTACGCGGCCATGACAAGCAGCTTGATTGTCAATTTGTAAGAGTATGTGAGGAAAGATCACACTTTTTCACAAATCGAGTTGCGGTCCTTGCGGAACTCTCTCACACAGCACGCGCTAAACGCTCCATCTTTAAATGCGTTTAAAGATCGGGTTTCGATAAACTGTTTTCGAAAATCAGCATAGAGACTCCTGGAAAAGTCTCTTCATAAAATTAATAATTCAACATTTAAATATATACATATGTATATGTATATATTTTTTAATTATTGTTACGGCATTATTGCGGTTTAAATGCATAAATTTGATTACTAAATATATCAAACTCAAACTCATATAGAGCATTTTGATTTTCCAATCAATGAAACCCGCATAGTCAACCACCAATGTCAAACTCAAAACAAAAAAAGAAATTGTTATACATTTAACACATTAAAGTTCTCAATAAAATGGTTTTAAACTCATTTTGAAATCTAGTTGAAAGTTTATTCGAATTTGTTTTTTATATCAAAAAACCAGAATTTGTGTCGTAAAACTGTATTTACTATTTTTTAACGCAGAGGTTATAAAGCAGCTGTTGCTCAGCAAATAGCACTTAGAGCTGTAGCACAGCGAATAGCACTTCAACTTTTGCAAAGACAAGAGTTGAAAACCATTATTTTATTATATAATCGTTTTTAAATGAAATACCCGGAGGGCATACCTATATGGAATCCGCGGCCGAGATCCGGCGGGATACCGTTTTCCCATACGTCTTCCCATACGGGGACACGTGGGCCCTGTAAGGGAACCCGCATGTCAATTTTGGCTCGGTATAAAACATTAACAATAAGTTATTAAACTTAGAGAAATCACAACCTTAAAATCGATAGGTTAAACAAAGAAAAAAAGTAATTCGGAGCTGATGTAAAGC